GTTCCTGGTACGTGATTTTAACCAGATCCTTTCAAGTTATGCAACCTTCCCCTGTAATTCTCAAAAGTAACTTGATATTCCAAAACACTGCTGGATGTAAGCCCATCTACATGACTGGAAGGGAACAGCAGGGTCCAGTTATTCTCAGGATATTCGATGGTGACTGGAAAACACAGATGCATCTTTTATATGCACATTTGTTTCTAAGGAAAACATCTTTATTACTCTGCTTATAAATAACACTTATTTATTAAGCAACCACTGCCAGACATTATTCAATATCATTTGTATCGATTTATTTAAGCCTTACACGCTAGGGGAGGGTTTCTCAATCTGTGGGGCTCGACCCTCCCAGAGGGGTCCAACAATCTTTTTATAGGATCACATATCAGATACCTTGGATATCATTACAATTCATAACAGAAGCAAAATTACAGTTATGAAGTAGCAATGAAAGTAACCTGATGGTTGGGGTCAGCACAGCATGAGGAACTGTATTAAGGGCCTCAGCATTAGGAAGGTTGAGAACCACTGCTCTAAGCAGTCAGTACTGCATTGTGCCTTTTTTTTTTCTTTTCTTTCTTTCTTTCTTTTTTTTTTTTGTGGCTTTGGAAATCAGAATGTTTAAGAAACTCAGCCAAGGTCACCCAGCCACAAGCAGAGGAAGCACGAATCCAGAACTTGGCTCTAAAGCCTAGGCACTCTTCTAACCATGTCTTGAAGCACTCTGGTGATTTCTATCTGGAGCAGCTTACAAAAGGCAGCCACCCCTTTGTCTCTCTCCCACTTGGAGCTCTCTGTGCCTCCCTAGCGTGTTCCTTTGGGTTACCCCAGCTCTTCTTTCCAGCCACCACCAGGAGTCCTTCCAGCAGACAGTGCAAGCAGAGGCCTGAAGTGGAGCATCCTGGGAAAGCCCTGAGGACCCCCACAAAGGACATCAGTGAAAGTGCTTGGGGTGTGAAGCTTCCTGCATGCCCAATAAGCAATCCTTGGCCCTTCCAAGACCACCATTATTTTCATTTTACACAACTACGGGACTTCATACATGCATATACAGTAGATTTAAGAAGCTGTTACTGAATCATATTTTATTTGGGAGTTGGGAACCAAAAAGGTTTGCCTACATTATTTTCAGGAGAGGAAAAAGGTGTCTTTTATTAACATCCGTTGGGTTGTTTGAAGAGACATGACATGCTGAATTCTTCAGATGCCTACACCAGGATTTCAGTTCCAAAGGAGCAGAGGTTTTTGCAGGCTTTTCTGACACAACGTGAATGTTGACCTGACAGGTGCTTGGGCTCATCTGTCTGCTAGACCTGCGTTCTTCACCCTCTAGCAGAGTAGCCTTGAGCAAGCCCTTAACTTTACAGCACAGCTTCTGTCTTAGAGTTCCACTGCTATGAAGAGACTGTCTTCTGCAGACAGCCAGGAGGAGACTCTATTCCACACCAGGCAGAGCTTGAGCATAGGAGACCTCAAAGCCCAACTACACAGTGACACACTTTCTTTAATAAGATCCCACCTACTCTGATAAGGCCACACCTCCTAATAGTGCCACTCCCTATAGCAAGCACTGAAGCACATGAATCTATGGGGGCCAAACCTATTCAAACCACCAAGGTTCTCAAAGCTAAGGCTGGTTTTCTGCAGTAGCTGAAATGACCAATGAAGTGAAGCTGGAGCGTGGTACGGGGAAGGGCGAGGTGGAGGGGGGGAGAAGACAAGGTTGAAATGATGTAAGTACAGTGCTCATCTCTAAACGACTCAAAAATAATGTTTAAAACTAAAATAGCAATAAAATGGGAAAATTAATGATGTAATGTCTGTGAAAGTGCTTACCACAGAAATCAGTAAAAGGCCTTAATAAATGGCAGTTTTATTTAATTTTATGTCATTGTAAGGGAATGGCATATAAAAATGCATATTACTAAGAACTAAGGAGACAAAACCCATAAATTTGTGGCCTGAAGTTTTCCCTGCACTTAAGAAAACTGTTTGCCTATGCTATTTTTGCTGTGAAAATAGGGGTCACCAAATCTTTGACTATTCTAACTTCACATTTTAGTAACCAGATACTTATAAATTTGGCTAAATAATATATTTCTGTTTGGGTACTACCATTATATATACTTGCAGTATAAAAAATCTTGAAACAAAATTCCCATGAACTAGCCAGTAGGGAAATAACAGACAATCAGATATAAATGGGCTGACATGAAGAATGCACTGTTCCCAAAAGCAAAGTCAGAACTCTGGGTTCTATATAATGTCTCTTATGTTGATGGCATCTGTGCACATCTATAATATCAACCCTTGGGAAGGCCAGCTAGTCTCAAAACAAATACATTATCATTTTCTCCTATTTAAAATATGCAATTTCACTTTCAATATTATTTCTACCTTCCATCTCTGGGTAATAACATGGCTAATCTTTTTTTTTGAGGGGGGCGGTGAGGGGAAAGGCAATGAAGATTCACTTTAGAAATGTGCAAGCTAGCAGTTAAAATGTATGGTCACTCAACAATGAATCTGCAACAGCTTGAAGCCAAAACAGAAAGCCCTGACATGGAGGACTGCCTTTTGCATGAAGCTTCTAGGGTGCAGCTGGCCCAGCATCACTGCCCACCAGGGGGCTCGAAGGCTCATTCTTCCTAAGGATTCAATGGCCAGAATAGGCCACAGTGACTGTCAGTTCAGGTTACAGCAAACTGCCAGTCATTTCCTGAATCCAGCCAAAGCCTTCTTGTGCAGTGTGGTGGGTTCCTAGAACTGATTTTCGTGGCTGAGATCAGCATTAAGCAACTCAGGGGAAGCTCAAATCAGCTAGACAGGCATTTCAACCACAGCTAAATAAGCTGTCTAGTTGCAGCAAACTTGATGCCACACCCCAGTTCTCCATTTGCCCCTTTTTCCTGCCCTAAAAGCTATAACTGGCCAACCTTTGGGATTCTCACAGGTTGGGAGAGAATGCACTATTATTCTTTACCTTAAATATAGAAATATAGAAATATTAATTAAAAACATCTATTTTTGTTTTGTTTTGTTTCGAGACAGGGTTTCTCTTTATAGCCAGAGCTGTCCTGGAACTCACTCTGTAGACCAGGCCGGCCTTGAACTCAGAAATCTGCCTGCCTCTGCCTCCCAAGTACAAAAGCACCTATTATAATTTTATCATAATTACCTGCATGCAGTTAGGGGTTGGAGAGTTTAGTCTTATTTCACTCTCAGTCTCCTGGGGCAGAGTTTGATTTGCTGTCTGGACTAGAAAAGGCTGCAGTGAACTGAGGGGTACTATAATTCTGTAGGCTAGACTCAAAAGGGGATACTCGGCTGCCTTCCAGAGCTTGACACCCAGTGCCCTCCTTCTGCCAGTCAGCTCCCACCCTCACCATGGCTAAATCATTCCAAAAGAAGCTTCAGGAAGGAGAGGAGAAACAGCATCACGGACTGCAGTTGGCTCATGTCAGGAAGGCAGAATATTGCATGAAGGGGAAATTGGCTTTACTAGATGGATCCAATCAGGCCTGGAAACACCTAGGGTCTGTGTTGCTGTCACACAGGAGCTGCAGGAAGGCAAGGAACACAGCGGTGAAGAGATTGAATGTATTAGCTAGACTCAAGGAACTTGAAGTTGGGACCCCAAGCAACAATATTGGCAAGAGCTCCTGTCCACTCAGGCAGCAAAGGCGGGGTGGGGGTGGGGGACTGTAGGGGGGAAAGGGGATGCAGGGCTCCTGGAAACGCCTGAACTAAAGGTGGGGGGAATGAGGCAGCTGGCATGCAGATTTAGTACTAGCTGGTTAAATGTGACCCTTTCCCCACCAAATAACCTTGCTTATACTTCATTGCCTCTGTCCTATCAATAACTCTTTAACTGCCTTGCTTGCAAAGGACAGAAGAATGAAATATTTCAGAATCTCTAAAAGCTTTGTGCTGAGGTGCATACCCTGTTCCAGTGAAAAATTCTTCCAAGTTCTATGGGAAGAGAGAACACTTCTGGAAGGAATTGGTATCTTTCCATTTATGCTTATAGAGAAATTCAAACAGCTGGGCTGAATTTATTAACAAGCCAGGCGTGGTGGCTCATGACTACTCCAGCATTTGAGGGGCAGAAGCCAGGTTTGAGGATAGCTTGTGCTACACAGTGAGTCTCGAGGACAGCCTGGCGAGACTGTCTCAACCAACCAAACTGAAACAATGTAATAGTACATCTATTTGGAGATGACAATATACCACTTAATCCCAGAGACTGTGCTTTCCTGTCAGTACTTCTACAGATTATTTTCAACTAAATTAGGTGAAGCTTCTGAACAACCTCAAACTAGTTCCTCCAAATACCTTTCTCAAGGGACCCATGGGGAGAAAAACCAGCGATAGGCAGAAGATGCACCTACACAGGCATTATTCATTTCCTGAGCTGGCCCACTTCCTTCTTCAACATTTCCTTCTCTTGACCAATATGCCTTTTGAAATGAGCAGTAAATTCTTGAAGATGTATTTCTGGGCCCAGGACTTGGAAACTAGACACATTATGAGACCATGACATTTTTAACACAGTGACACAAAATTATAACTTCTAATGAAGAATCATATCAAGGCTCCCTGTATTACCTACTCAGCAAAGGAATCCAAACCCTTATGAGCCAGACACATGCTCTGAGAAAACAAATGCTATCTGAGAGAGAAAAGTTCACGTTGCCTAACTGCAACACCCTGAACATTACGGCAGCTTCCACAAAGGAGCAGAAAAATGGTTTAAATGTCCACACTATAACCAAACTGAAATGATGTTACTGAGTTTCTACACTCTAAGTATTACCTTGAATACAATTCTGAGTGTTTCACAATTGTGAAAAATGTTATCTTTTCTTAGATATGCAGTTGTGTATTGTGTTGAACAAAGTCAATACAGGAAGCTGTGAGAGAGAAACAGCTATTGTGAGTCTTCTGTGCTAATCAATATAAAAGGTAATCTAAGAGTAACATAGAATCAGTTCTTACCTGAGTATAAAACGCTTTCTTTATTAACCAGCAATGAGTGATAGCACAAAAAACGGATAATAAAGTCTCTTTAAATGTTTATTTCTGTCAGAAGAGCTGACAATTTTCTGTTGAGTTTTGGTCTATTGTTATAATAAGCATTTCCCCCTTGAAAAACCCACTCAAAACATCTCATTCCTTGAGGTAAAGGACTTTTAAAAAAAATGATTTTTTAAAGAAAAAATTATTAAGATTCCTTTAGCTTGATAAATAGAAATAATCTTTTTTTTTTTATCTTACCCTGGTGAACATATATGTATTTTATACAACAAAGTATCTCTTCAGTTATTGGCAAGCCCAGGTAAGAATGACCCACGCTCACGCCGACTCATCATAGATCACAGTGCAACAGTGCCGTGCTCATACAGACTTTGAAAGGAACAGTTATCAATACTCTTCTGGCAAAACAACCCAGGTTTTGGAATGTCAAAAGCAAAAGAAGTTTAGGCATCAAAGCAGCTCCGGGAGGGATCAGTCTGAGTCTTCGTCATCGAGGTAGTCCTCGGCATTGCTTAACGTTCGAGCCCCATCTAAAGAGAAGACAGGAAGGAAGCAAAACAAAGAAATCACAAACTGTTGAGACTTTGGTTCACCATCAGTGCTTTTGACAACTGAAAACATGATCTTCCTGACCCAGAGAATATGCTCTCCCTGTGACCCTTCTCATCACTGCTTTCCAACCTGGAAAGCTTCACTACAAGGGGCTGCCGAGTCACTTGACAGAGTGAGCTGCTTGGTGGAGGGGCCACCAGTCCGAACCGAGCACAAAGCCACCAGCCGCATGTACCATGGCATACCAGCAGCCACTCCACATGTCAGTCAGCACACAGTCTGTGCCTTCCCTGAAGGCAGGAGACAGAAAGGTAAGTAATGAGGGAGAGAGAGAGAGAGAGAACACAGACGTTTCAGTTTCATTTCAGGAAAAAGTAAATTTAAGAAGAAGCAAGAGACTGAAATTTAAAAGAAATCAATGAAATATCTAGACCCCATCAAATACTAAAGCAATCTTGCACAGGGGTCAAAAGAAAGATAGCTATCTAACTGCTCCCTCTTCAGCTGTCTGCATCAAATTCTTACAGTAACAAATTTCCTGAGAGGGAAAATGCAATTCAAAAGCAAACACTGTTAAAGAGTTCAGTTGATGCAGAGTAGCATGGCACCCAAATTAGACTCTCTCACTAGCACAACCCAGACCTCACTGGAAATATGACAAGTTCTGTCTGGGCATATATGGGAAGATGGACCTAGAGCCCTATGAAGCTAGAAAGCAAAGATCCTATTGAAGATAGCTTGTGCTGGTCAGGACCAAGCACAAGAGACAGAGAATGAGAACCTTCAGCCAGTGCCTAAAAACCTTTACACCTCAGTAGAGTCTCTCTGAAGGCACTAGTCTAGCAACAGGAAGTCAGTGGCAGAGAAAGGAAGTTAGGCCACAGCCTTCCTTCCTGATCCAACTGGACAGCAAGGACTGAGAGGTCAACCTCAAGCAAAAGCCACCCACACAGTAGCAAACATGGTTTCTACTTTCTGTCCCTCACAGTTGCTAATACAGTTTCTCCCAAGTCTGTAGCTGGACAGCACCAGCTAAGGTAAAAAACACTTTGTCATTCCCTCCAGAGCCTACATCAATAAATGAATGTCTTTAGAGAAACACCAGTCCTTCCGATGAGTATTATCCATGGTTAAAACACCAAGCTCCAGGCTGGTTTACACTGTGTGTGAACTGAAGTGAAAGGCAATACAAAGGGGCAGCAGGCTCATGGGCAGGCTTATGGTGGGACTTAGCAATGGGCAAGGAGGATAATTTGGGAGGTTCTCTTAAATCCCAAAGATAAGGAGAACACTTACTGTTTCTCAGGCTAAGGTAGGGGACTAAACTCTGGGCTTGACACAGGCCATGGCATATGGATGAATGGATAGGAGAAAGGCACAGTGATAAAGAGAGAGAAAGGTGAGGTGAATGTGACAGAGAAGGTAAGGCATACCCTCACAGGACACACACAGAGAGGGCAACAGCCAGCCTCTGAGTAGGAACACATGACTTGTGCTTTAAATCCTGTGGTGGTCTGAATGAGAATCGTATCCCCTGACCCCCATACTCCCCCAATCTCTGGCTACTATAACTGTGTGCTTGGTCCCCAGTTGATAGGCTGTTTGGAAAAAATTAGGAGATGGGTCCTTTTTGGAAGAAGTGTGTTGCTGGCTGTGGGCATTGAGGTTTCCAAAGTCTATGCTAGGCAGAGTCTGTGTCTTTGTCTGTCTATCTGTCTATTTATCTGTCTTTCCCTTTCTTCCTGCTGCCTACAGAAGAGGACTCAAAGCTCGTGGCTACATCACCAGCACCATGCTTTCCTGCCTGTGGCCATGTTCCCTGTCAAAATGATCATGATGAGCATGGATCCTTCTGAAACTGTAAGCAAACCCCCCAACTAAATGCTTTCTTTTATAACAGTTTGCCTTTTATAACATGGTCATGATGTCTCAACAGAACAACTAAGTCAACCCCTTTCTTTTAAAACAACCACCATGTATAACCTTCACTTCATTTTTTCAAATTTATTTTCCCACATCTATATTTTAATCTTGAGGAATGTCTACCTTCATTCACAATATTGTGAATAGATTCCACAGTCTTTGGTAAAGCCTGGAAAACCTTCAATTGTGGTTTATTGCTATGTTCATTAAGTCTGAAGCACAAGGCAATCATGGAGTGGTGAGCATCAACTTTAGTTGTATCTACCTTCGGCCACTCACAGAAGCTATGTCGTGATGCTGGAAAGCATACCATTATTAGCAAAGAACAAAGGAAAGGATGACATGAAAGCCCCTATCTGACTTCAGATTTGTTTGCTTGATGCTATTATTTTACTTTAGATCTGATTTAGATCAACGGTATATATTCAAAATTGAGAATTATTTATCATGCAAGGGGGAGGGAACCCTCACCTTTTTCAATAAAACCCTCCAAAGTCTTGGTCATAACCACAAAAAGGAGAGTGATTTAAGACAATACCTGTTCCCTGCTTCTTCTTCAGGAGCGATGCACAGGCAGCGTTGGTGGCCATGTCGAAGGCCAGCTTCTTCTCATTGTTTCTCAAGTCTGTCCTCGCACCTTCCCAACACAAGAAACAGAATCATGTGTGACTCTGCAGAATAGCACCCAGCAGCTGATCCTCTGTATGTAACAAGCTAATCACGTTGACAAAGCTACCAGAGAACAATTCTGGCCCAGAATGAATGTGGCTGGCATGTTTCATCAGAGAGCCTGCTGCTCCATTAAACCTGCTCTTCCCGTCCAGGCTGCAAGGGACTGCACATGGTGAACCCATTCATTTCCAGGCCCTAGGTAAATCCTAAACTGAAGGAAGCCATAGCCATAACCCCATACATTATGTGGGTTCCTTCATTTTAGGATTTACCTAAGGCCTAGAGGAGGCTTTGGGGCTTTAACCAAACACATCCTTTGACTCTCCCTCAGCTCATGAGGGCCATTAAGAAAGACTATTGGGTTGAATGACAAAGGATTAATATTTTATATCTGCAGGTGCCTTCATATGCAAATCAGCATATGACAAAACAATACAACACTCAGGCAACTCATTGTTCCCCAAATCATTGTCCCTGTAAGCCCTCTTCCATTCATTTCTCCCTTGTCTTTGTGCTAAAAATTACATCAGAATCCATAGAGATAATTGCATTGTTGAAGAACAAAAAAATACAGAAGTGTATTCCACAATGCTGTTTTACCCTCCTGAACTAAGTTCTTCCTTCAAAGGCGACCACTGTTAGAGTGAGCTTGAGGTGTTTTCTCTTATGTTGTCAATGATCTGCACACATATGAACATGTGCATAATGTCAAACTACCTGTGTCGCTCTGCAATTTCATTTTTAAATTACAAACATATTTGCATGTGTGTGGGCACTTGCATCATACTGCACACATGAAGGCCAGAGCTGGTTCTTGTCCCACCATGTGGGTCCCAGGGACTGAACTCTAGTCCTTGGGTCCTCAGGTTGGCAGCAGCACCTTTACCTGCTGTGCCACCTCACCAGCCTTATAATTTCATTTTTAACTTCACAGTATTTAAATGATGGTGCCCTGGTTCACAGGTTTACCCAAAGTTCACTAGAAGTGGTCCCAAGGGCTACTGTCAAACTGTCTGTCAGGAAGGCTCTACAATCAATGCTATCTCAATGTTTCAACAATTTATGCAGTACTATGGGTGCTTGCAACCACCTTGAAAACAAAACTTCAAGTATGATTCTGCAGCATAGAGCTTACGGCTGCCACATCACCCACACAGTCTTCAGCATGTCCTTCAGACAAAACAACAGCCCTATCGTTAAGTAATCTTTTAGACCAGGGGTTTACAGCATCCTCACACTTAAACCAAAAACAATCCTGCTCATAAATTCCACAACACTTTCCCAACTGTTCCTAAAGATAGACTCTATAACTGTGGCTAGGAGAAAGGCTCTGCAGCGTTGCCCCCTGGGCCAGCCGTCTGAGTGATACCTGGCCCGCCCTCTGTAAGAGTGGCTAATGTTTACAGCATAAGCAGGAAACTGGATGGACAGTCCCTAAGTTAGCTGTTTGCTGTGAATCGAACGTAAGCAAGAGATGGGCTCAAAGTACCCTTCATTCACACCTCAGCACTGGCTCAGTCGGGCAACAGCAGCTACAGCATTTCTCCTTGTCTATTAAGACTCCCAAGCAAGCAGGAGCTGCACCAACTTCACAGCAACCTTCTGAGGACACGGGCCCTAAAGCCCTAGAGTCCTGCAGCATGCACAAGAAGCTCTTTCTAAAAGCAATACATTTGTATGGATAATTTTAAGTTTATCAGGATCTTAACTCACAGTAAAAGGTACAATAAACGTATCACCGACTATTTCTTGTCAACTGTAATCATGCCATGCAGTTTTAATGGAAGGAGACTTGGTATTCCTACGATTTCAACTGGCCTACTTCATTAGGAGCCAGTTTTCAAGCCAAGCAAAGACCAGGAAAAGAAGCAGTGGGAGGGGAGATGGGATAGGGGGTTTCCGGAGGGGAATTGGGAAAATTGATAACATTTGAAATGTAAACAAATAAAATAACCAAAAAAAAATGTTTATAAAATTTGTTTAAAAAAGAAAAAAGAAGAAACCAAGAGGGGTCACTTATAGTTATGTAAAGTGAATAAGTAAACAAACAAAATTAAATATATAAAAAAAGAACTTTACCTTTTGCCAGTAGCAACTGGACAATGTCTGCATAACCCTTCCAGGCAGCTGCATGCAGAGCCGTGTCTCCCAGCTTGTTCTATGGTGAAAGAAAGGGAAAATCGTGTATTAAAAATACAAAACGGACTGGGTGAAGACAGTAGTATAAGATAATCCACATAACACTAAATTAGGAGAAAAGCTACACAACCACATGGAATTCCAAGGGAAAGAGGAACTCAGGCAATGAGAGGAGGAGCTGCTCTGGGAAGATGGAGGAGCAGAACTATCACAGCAGAGACAGGCTGAGGCATGGCCTCCTGCAGAGGGACACTCCAGCAATAAGCAGGAACTGAAGACCCCTAGAGGCACGGGGCATGAATGAGGCACGGGGTAAAAACAGGAGGCCAAATGGATTCATACCTCATTAGAACCCCAGGTTTTTGCCCCATCAAACAAGAGTAGAATGCTGCTAAAAAATCGCCAGGGTTCCCAAGCTCATGCACAGTGGTGTGCAAAGGTGACCAGAGCCAGTCAGATGAAAAACAGGAACAGCCAACAGGAAGATCCTTCACTCAGTACATCAGCCCACCTCCCTACCCAGACAGCAGTTACTGGGTTCACCAAAAGTGAGAGTATACTGGGTAGGCTACATCTAATCAGGCAGGCTTTTAAAATGAGGGTTAAATGGCAGAGCAAACAGCAGCTCCTCCTTGCCGTGAGAAAGATAGCAAACAGCCATTTTGTGAGCTCTGCTGGAAAGGAGAGCCTCTAAAAGCTCAGGGCATCAGTACTACAGGGACAAACAGCTCAAATCTCAGTAACTGTCATGAGCTTTGATGGGGACCTCAAGCTTCCCAAAATCCCAGTTCCCACTAAACCTGGGTTTTACAGTGTGAGATCCTGAGTCGAGACTCTTGTGATGTTATGCATAGAACTGCAACCCACCCAATACACACTGATAAACCACAGATAATTTGCTAATTATCAACTGAAAATGAATACAGAGCTCTGGGGAAATTTTAAAAAGTATCAAAATAAAGGTGAGGCTGAAGAGGTGGCACAGTGGTTAAGAGAACTCACTGGCTGCTCTTCCAAGGAACTCAGGTTCAATTCCCAGCAACAACATAGAGGCTCATAACTGTCTGCAACTCCAGTCCCTGGGGGGAATCTGATGCCCTCTTCTGGTCTCTATTGGTACTACACACATGTGGTATACAAACATGCAGGCAAAACACCCTATACACATAAAAATAATACTTTAAAAAAAACTTTTAAAAAGGGAATAATTTTTTTAAAAAGAGAAAGGTGATGAAATATCTTATTAAAAAATAAAATCTGACATTCAATCTGTAGACTCAAAAGAACAAAGAAAATGGTTAGAAACAGTAAAAGAAGTAAGAAATTCTCAGGTTAAAAGACTTTATTGTGGTTACTGGGGAAGGATGGCACTAAGGCCCTTCCTTGTGAATTCTTAGAACACCAAAGACAAAGACTCTTAATGAGAAAAAGGCAGATCACAAACAAGGCTGGAAACTGCCAGGGCTAGACGTGGTGGGAGTTTGTCTCCTAAGGCTCATGTTTTGGGAATTAGCAGAAGGGTTCTGGCTGTAGTTTGGATTTTAAGTGTCCCCAGGGTTCCCTGGCCTGCTGCTATCCAGAGGGAGTTAATGGAACCTTGGGATGACAGACAAGTGGGAAGGCCCTGGGGTATATGCTCAAAGGAGGTGGTGAGACTCTGCTCACTGAGACAGATACAGTGAGCTGACCAGCACCACCATGTGCTCACTCACCTTGGTACCAGCCCAAGAGTCATGAGGCCACTTGATCATAGAACAGCAACTCCCAAATTGGGACTGAAGTATAGCTTTTCTCTTTATAAGCTGACTAGCTCTACCATGTGTACTTGAACAGCATGTGTGAGGACTTGGCTTTAAACCCCAGTACCACAGTAACAACAACAGTAACAACAACAAAACTCCATATGCTTGTAGCATCTGAATTAAAATATTGTATAGGCACACAAGCTGTAGTGTGTGAGCAAGAAAGAGGTGGGTATGTTAATGTGCCCCCCACCCCCAAGCCGCCTCACCTGCTGGTTCAGCTCCACATTCGGCTGAGTAAACAGAACCTCCACAATGTCTGCAATTCAAACAGAAAATGGTATTTCTTAAGAAACAGTGAACGTTGTAAAAAAAAAAAAAATAGCCATCATAATGCAAAAGGCAAAGTTTGTCAGGAGAATTTCTAGAAAATTCTTATAAATTTCTCAAATTTTATCTTCTGAAAAAAAAAAAAAAAACTAAAAGGTAGCTTACAAAACAAAAATTTCAGACCCAAAGATTTATCTCAGTTAGTGGGAAAAAGTGAACAGTAGGATTTGGACTAGAATAAAATAATTGGAAAAATCCAACCTGTTATTACTGACTGCAACAGAATTGCAGGCTTCAATCAGTGTGGTATTTCAGAATTTTGCATTAAACTTAATGTGGGTCCAGAAGCATAGCTAGGGAAAGCTACAGGTACCAACTCTGGTTTCCCTCTGTGGCTTGCTACCCTGTTACTGGTGTGTTCTGTTACCTTCTGAAGCCAGAGAAAGAAAGGGAAGTCCCCAGCCTTTCAGGTCTGCACAGTGGGGCTCACCACAGTGGGGCTCACCAGTCACACCCCATGGGCACTGCTCTGCAGTTTCCAGGAACACAGCCTTTGCTGCACTGCCTTTATCATCAAAGAAGGCAGGCTCCCATAGGTGAAGGAGATTTTGAGCAGCACAGAATCATATAAGCAGTGAGATTTGGTACCTTTGTGGCCGCCATGGCAGGCCCAGTACAGAGCTGTGCTTCCAGCTTTGTCCAGGCCATTGACGCCTACTCGGTTATCCAAGCACTCCCTCAGCCAGCTCAAGTTGCCTGCAAGAATTTTACATTATAAAACAACACAAGGAAAAGGCTTTTTTTTTCCCCTCTGTTCTGCTTTTAAATCAATTTCATCCTTTGTAAGCTCCCATTTGTGATGGATTAATCAGCAAATCTTAAAACAAGTCCTGCCCACTAATGCACTTAGTATGGTGCATCTGCACCCTGGGTCATTGAGAAGCAGCAGTAACATCCATTTTTAATAGGAGTTGCCAAAGATAGATTTAAAGGTATTTCTGCTTTGGAGGGGAAAAAAAAAAAAAGATGTATTAGTCCTTTCTCTCTTTAATCCTGAAAGGCAGGGTTTAGCACAAAAACCTAACTACAAACAGAAACTTTCCCTACTCATATTTAAAGACATTTTCAGGTCTTGGAAATAAAGATATACTATCTTATACTAACTAAGCTGCTCAGAGCTACTGCTCTATTCTAAAGTATGCCCACTTATTTAAAAAATTCAGGCTAATCTCTTAAGTAGCTCCTTGACAAAGAAGAGTCTTAAATGTCAGTGTCTAAGCCCTTCCTTTCCCCTTGCACATGCAGCCATGGAACAGCTTGCTAAGGCTGCACCGGCACTTCCCACTATTCAAGGGAGGGTTTCCTAATAGAGTCACCATGGGTATTTGGGGTTAAGAGAAATTTTATGTAGTGGGGCTTACCTTGGACACTGTAGGTTGTTTAGCAACAGACTGGGTCTCTACCGGAAGAATGCCAGTACCATCCCTCCACTTGAGATAGTCAAAATGTACCCACACATTGCCACATGCTCCAGGCTTGTGGGAAGTAAGTGTTACCCACAGGAAGAAAGTCAAGACAACTCCCATCCTTGTTGGGTCAGAGCTTCCCCCAACATCAACACTCTCCTAAGTGCTATGTCCCAGGACATCGCTGCCCTCCTGCCCTCCAGGACTCAGAACATTGTATTTTAATGATCTGTTACATCTAACTGCCCTACATGACTCTGGGCTTTGAGAGTCAGATCATGACCTTCCATAAGTGCTAAAATTATAAAATTAAAAATCACTCTTTGCCTTCTAGGGTGAGGGAAGTCAGCACAGAGATTGCTTCTAGAGAAGGCAGGGACTTAGAGTGGGAAGACATATTAAGAGAACACTCTAAGAAAAAAGAAATGCTCTGGATCTTAATCCGGATGTTGGAGCTCTGGTTATCTATGTACCTATCAAAATTTATCACACCATATAATTAAAACCCAAGCATTTTGCTATAATACCAACCTGTCAGGCAAGATGTACCTAGTTGGCATGACTGTTATAGGGACAATCAATTTCTTTGATTGTATTTGAGGCCTGATAAAAAGGAGGGAACTCATGCATGGGAAATCACACTATAAACCTTGTCAACCTTGTCACAGGCCATAGGGGGTAGCTTACAACTATTGTTTTGTTTAAATGGTCATGTTCAACTGCCTTCTAAATATGTACGTTTACCCTTGTAGATTAGTGCCGCTCTGAGCCTTGGTTGGAGAAGCTTCTTTTTTGCAATGGGCAGCAGTTAACACAGAGACTCAACCAGACAATGTGTTGAGAGAAAGTGAATGTTGAGCACTCAGCACCAAGCAGGCTATCCAGATCACCCTCTCCATCCTCGGCACAGGAAACATTGCACAGTAAAGAGACAGAATGTTACGAGCCAGAAAACAGAGAGAGTGCTGCAAATCCTGTCTTCTGGACATGATATGGCTACTGTTGCTGTAGACTCCCTGCAGCTCTGGTTAAATGCACATGAGATCAAATCAGTCAGAATTCCTACTTGGATGGGAAGAGGTTCCTAAGCACCGCTCCTGGTTGAGGAGCCACTGAAGTTGACAGCTGAAGAAGAAAGTAGTCATTTCTCTTGAAGGTGTGACCACTGGTAGGTCTCTTGGCCATGTATACAAGGACAATAACTGGATTTAGGGGTTGCTAATTTTAAAAAGAGAGCATGCAGTTGGGAGAGGAGCACGTTATGGGGAAGGGAGAGATGGAGCTGGAGGAGTGATCAAAAATACTTGTTTAATGTATGCGACTTTCAAAGAATAAGAAAGAAACATTTTAATATATTATATCCTCTATCAAAAAAGAAAAAGAGAATCAGACCTACCTCGTTTTGCAGCCTCATGCAATGGATTGTCAATGGATTCTGCCTGCTCAGCCACTAGATTGAAAACAAAGATATAAGCCCACCATTGGTGTTGCTCAGTGATTCACAGGAGTTGGCTATGCCCACGGGCACCCAGCTTCATGGCCAGGGCCTCAGATACAACAGCTTAATTATTTACGTAATGTGGATTAAAAGTAACAGAAAGAACTGATAGTACTTCCTTTAAGAGAGGCTGGATTCTGTGTTAAATGAAACCAAGCCAAACAATAAGGCAGTAACACAGCAATTAACTGCAAGCATAAACAACAGCAAGCATAGCAGGTAACGGAAACAAAACTCAAACAGATCCCTTGAACCAAACACCAAGCTTACTCAGGTGTTTTACACAAACAGTCATAAAAGGTATAAACATCTGATACTCAGTTTCACATTCTGGGAAACACCAGATTCCCTTCTGTTGGGGCAAGCAGCAAGGGCCGACAGCAACTCAGCACTGCTTGTATTCACAAGGGACAGCTACTGTCTATCTGCTTTCAGAAGGTTCCACTGTTGCCTTAGAATGAGTAGGAGCACCCAGAGGAAGCCTGCTGCTCCAGGCCCAAGCCTGTTGATCTAAGAGGGCTGGGATCAGACATTCTTTATAACTATTCTCTACCCTCAGTATCTACAGCCAAGGCTGGAAGTATAGTTCAGTGGAAAGATATGTGTAGATTTCAGAGAAACAGAACCACATGAAGCCCAGAGTGCACAGGGCTCCTGAGCTAGGACCTTGCCATAGCCTCCGTGTCTCTGAAGGACATTCTCTAACATCTGTCAAGTCATTTGTCAGTCTAAGGAGTAAGCCTAAGAGGTTCTGACAGTGATCTAAATTCAGCACTCCCACTATTACAGATGGAGAATCAAATCCCACAGGCATCATTCAGGTGTGTCTATACCCTAACCTGTTATTAATCGGAAAAAAAAGACTAACATCTGGGATTCTTGTTTACCAACCCTGTGCCATCTTTCAACCAGAAATATTAACAATTTTTAAAAAGAGGCCACATCTTAATAAGGACAAAGGGCTGTAATAACTGTAATAAGCATTCCTTGAGTATACAGGCCACATGTGAGTTTCCAAAGTAGGACTTCTTCAGTACAAACTAGAAGATCTGGAATTTAAGAACATTACAAAAAAAAAAAAAAAGTATTAGCAGAATAAGTCTATCCATAGTGTTTCTCTGGAAACTGTAGGTTTGTCACGTTGCAATGAATTGTCATAAGCAGTGAGTTAGGCCTGTGCACACAGGTGTGCATGGCCATCCTATGAACAGGAAGTTCACAGTGCAGCTGGCCACTTACCATAGTTGCTTGGGATCAGTCCTGTTCTGCCTTTGCATGTCCCTTTCCACCAGCTGGTATCACTCTGCCAAGAGAACAAGGGAGTCAGCAGGTAATGTCCTGCTTCTCCTCACTGATCAGCATCCTGAAATCCTCGCCATCTGCACCCATTCCCCTTATCATGAATATAAGCACACAAGCATCCCCAATTCACACAGATACACATCACAGAGTTTCAGTGAGGCAAACCAGAGCATGTGGGACAAGGAGGGAACGCATTAGTGTAGATTATAACTATAGAAATTAAATGCCTAGATATTCATTCAAATACTCTGATATATTTTTATGTTTTGCCACATCTTCTGAAGTTTTTTCTTGTCTTATTTTCACTTTTGGATAACTTTTTGTTATAGAAAAGTTCACACCTATGCAGAAGCAGAAAAAACAATGTGATGAGCCATTTGCTAAGTGTGTGACTTGTTCCTTGTGACCAATACCATCCATCATTCATCTGCCTTCCCTTCTGGGTTACTGGGATTAGTGTTAGGTAGTATAATCTTTACTCTGAAAAATCAGAATATGCATCTGAAAAATAAATTATTTCTCAGTCAACTGTGATACCATTATCACGGTTTCAAACTTTTCCCAAATAATTCCTTAATATCATCAAATATCTAAGTTAAAACTCAGAATTCCTTATGGTCCAAGTTTGAGATTTCTATTAAGTACCATATAGTTACCATATAGTACAACTAGTTCCCTCTTACACAGCCTTTAACACAGGTTCCTCCTCCATTCTTTTCTTCATTGGTGTGTGTGTGTGTGTGTGTGTGTGTGTGTATGTCTAGAAACAGTCTGGATCCTGCCTGCCACATACCTATGCTAGCATTAAACATGCCCCTTTGTTCCATGCATTGCCCATGAGTTGCTACTGAGTTCTAAAAGCAAAGGCAGACTGAGCCTCACTTTTAGAGGAAGGCTGCCACATGAGCCTCGTTGATGTCCTTCATAAGGAAACGCATAAGGAAAGGGTTCCTCTGTAGCGTCAGTCAATAATATGGGATGCAAAATGGGGACATTTCCCATTAAATAAATAGCATATCTCTTTAAAGAGTAATTTTTCTTACAAACTCTCAGGTCATTCAAGGTAAAGTTCAGGAAAAAGGACAGAGGAAGTACTGACTCCTTTCCTTACCCGTTGTCAGAATAAATACCCTAACTCCGTAATGGTCTCTCACAGTATCAGAGATCTGTTTCGAGGTAACATTAGGAAACCATAAATTTAAAACAGAGTTTCAATCCTTGAGAGATGCTGCCCTTAACTGATGCTCAAATTGCCCCATCTCTGGGCAGTGTATATTGGTTTCCTCATCATGCCAGCATGGCGGCCCTTGCAGGCTTTTGAAGCCGCCTTCTATCGTAGTCACAAGATGTTCAGTTCATTTAATGCCCTATGGCTGGTATCCATTTCTCAAAGAGGTCTTGTTCCTTTCAGTGAGAGTAACATATTATTACTGGATTATCCCTTTTCTAAGGTCCCCTTCAAAGATAAAATGTGATGTTCTCCCAATTCAAATGAAGGACTCCCATGTTTCTCCTTCATGTTACTGACTGACATCTGCAAACCCTCCTCCTCCCATGCTGAGAGCCCACAATGGACATCAGGGACCTAGAGACTCAGTTGTCCTCAACTGCCAGACTCAGTAGCCTGAGAGCAGATGTCTGTCAAGATGGGTCATCCATCCATCCATCCATCCATCCATCCGTCTGTCCGTCCGTCCATCCATCCATCCATCCATCCATACGTCTGTTTTATTTGATATAGTCACTAGGGATGTTTAGTCAAACTGCCAAGTCTTACTGAGAATACTTCCTTTCTGTCTGCCTAGGCTAGTAAAGTCATCTGATTCATTCTGTTCTTAATTTCTAGGGGCTGCTTTTTATTAATTTTATAGCCTCATAAAAATTTCTATGATTCCAAAGTCAAATCTTCAAAACAAATTATAATTTTAGAAATCTATTTTCCCTTCCTTCATATAAATAAAACTGATGTTTAAGTATATTTTAGTGTTATCATTATTTTCAAAGTAAGAAAATAGAGGCATATTTACAGTCTCTAACCCTTCCTTACGTAGCTAAGACATAATATATGCATTTTATCTTGCTTTATTCCATTTGAATTACATTAGAAGATAATTTGAAAGATATCCTTATTCCTTTGTATGGCTGTAGAGTTCCATCTGTGGCCATAACAAAACTTATTCAACTATTTCCTATTGGTGAATAAGACGACAATTTTCAATGACATGTTACCGTAAATGTGTCAAAAAGCAAGACTTTACATATATATTTCTATGTAAGTATATCCCTAAAATAATCCACAATATTATGGCTACATAAAACAGTCTAGCACTATGCTAATATATCTACAGAATGCAGTCGTAGTACAGAATATCAGCTAGCCTTACCATGTCAGTGATGTAGATAATATCTCCTTCTTCGAAATATAATTCATCTGGCTAGAAGAAAAAAAATTGACTTCATGAGATTTTTCCTATCTTAGAATATAGTTATTTCTTTCATTTTGTAATTTTAAATCCTAAAATATTCTTATACACAATATTACTTATATATTAACATTAGTAAATAAAGCATATAATAAAATATTATAATAAATTAATATTTGAATTCTAAAGTAGGATTTGTCCTGTGCTGAATGCTATCAAAGAATTATGTGTGTGTGTCACAAATATGCGATTCTAATACCTTTTATAGTCCCATATTACAAAGGATCTTCACATCATAGAATACAGGTAAAACTTTCCCTCTTAATTATGGTAGATGATATATATTTTTGTATGTATATAAATAAATGTCTAAAATTAAAACCATGAAAACTATTAAGACTTTTATTTGCTGATTTTCAGAAACCTATTCCATGGTCTTCACGCTCCAGAGAATGAGTACTCCTTATATATGAGTACTTACATGTAACTCAGCCTTGACAGTCTCAAGAGCTAGAGTACAAGAAGAGTAACTGCCCATCCAGAAAGGCTAGCAACGCCAGGGCCTAGTCTCACATCCAGTGCCTCACCCTGGCCTGACCCAGCAAGTGTCCTGCAGACTCTCTTAAGACAGCCAATAGTTTACACATCTTGTTAACTGCCAGTACATAACACCATGAGTTTTTGAGTAAATAGGAAGTATAATGCCCAGTGAAAGAAAATCTCAGCTATGGTCACAGGTACTTACAAAATAGGTAGGCTAAAACCTACCAAGCACAGACACAGGATGAGATAATGATTGCACATAAATTGTGCAGAAAAAAATTCCAAATGTGCTGTCATTACCCAGTACATTTTTACAATACTAATAGAAAAAATATCTAGAAAAAAAGACGTGTTACATCTGTCTATTCTACACATGTAATTAAAAATGATACTGGAAAAGCAAATTATTTCATCAATTCATTTCCCCAAGTGTTTGCCTCCTCTCCGGAGCAGACTGGGATGAGTATATATGATTCTGTCCTAGTGCTGAATTTCATTTCAAAATTATTTATATTATAGCTGCTGTTTTCCCCTGAATACAAACAAAGACTGTTATCAACTGCACCATGCTTAAAGCAACCACAATATGAAGTCAGATGAGCGATGCACTTGGGCATAAGAACTAGTGAACGGTGACTTATGATCCCCCAAAACGGATGACTTCCTTTAACGGCAACTTCCTAAAGCATTTATAACCTTTACTCTTCGATTTACAGTCTGGATTCACAGCAGAAGCTATACAAAAACTAGTTAAGCCCACTGGACCCGAGGAAGTGCACTGTAACTTCATTTCAAATAATATTCCGGGGGGAGAGAAATAAAAGACCTCTGAGATCTTTCTCTAACCATTGTTTTGAAGATGGATGGCCAATATTACTTTCAATATACTGCAGTCATAGAAAGTGATTAGAGAAACAATTTCCGTTAAGACTAGCTGCAAACAGGAGCCTCTTGGAGACACTTAAGAGAGTCCTACATTCATCACCATAGCCTGGCAGCTGAACACAGTGACCATCTCAGAGCATTAAGCTGACATTTTATCACTACTTGACTGTATCTCCTTAGAAAGTGCCAAGGCATGGGAAGGAAGAAGAAACTTAGAAGGGGTATGGGGGCAGCCACAGAAGTGACTGTACTTCCTGCAGTTCTACAGGGGTCGGATGTGCCCTTTTCACATTAGAGATGTCCCGAAACCATTCCTATTCTGTACCTGTGCACTTACAGCTCACAATGAGCCCTCTACAGTCAGTGCTTTCAGAGAAGCCAAGGAGTTAACCTCTTCCTGTCCCTTTAGTTTCCTTCAAAAGTCAGGTCTCCCTAACTTTCCATCACGATCACTCACTCATGACCCAAACAAAAATACATGAAACAAATCCCTGCCACATAAACAGCCTAAAACACACACCAAGTATACATGTATATATATATGCACACATATCAAAATTCTGATCACTCCTCTGTATGAACTGAGTAATGAGTGAGGAATGAGACCCGGCCACTCTTTGGGCACAGTGTTTTACTCTGGGGTGAGGAAATGCTTTGGAATCTGGAAAAAAAAAAAAAGTAGTTGTTCACCATGGCAACTGTAAAAATCCCACTCAATTGCTTACTTTAAAATGGTTAATTCTATATGGTTTGAGTTTTACTCCAATTTTTAGAACAATTATAGTCAAAACTCTCAGCATCTTTTAGGTAATTCTTGTATTTTGTGGCTTGGTAAAGGGTACCCTGTGGAAAAAGCTGAGTCATCTGAAGACTTCACAGTGCTGACTCGGCTCTAAATGAACAGCAGCTATTCTACAGGGATGACTGCACCCCCCACCACTTCAACACCAGCAGCCCCCCTCCCATACCCCTCCGGCCTCCATCAGATATGTTGTTCAAATAAGGCAAGCAACCAGCAGCCAATCAGAGAAAGTGTCTGGCCATTTTATTAGATTTTATAGTATATTCTCCTTTAATAGCTCTCAAGTGCAAAGCTACCTACCTACACAGTTTCTTCCAAAAGGACAAGATAAAGGCATGAGCTTTCCTAATATGGCTCAGGAGTGGTTTATGAAATTCTTGACCCTGCTGAGGTCAGTATAGTCAATAAAGTCTGGCTTGAAATTCAGACTTTACCTAAAAGAATCACATTTTCCATTAAGAACCCACAAATGAATGATGAAAACTGTTCAGTAAGGATCTACTTTCACATTCCTGGCATTGTATTCACGGAACAGGAGTGGGAAAGCAGTGACCCAAAGCTGCCCGGAGCATGTCATTCCATCAGCTTGTTCTCTAGTGTTTAACCACAAGCCCTCATCTCTCCTTGAAGAACCATAAGGTATTAGAACAGCGTGAGCTGGGCTCGGTGACTCAGGACTCAGTAAGCTAAGCCACAAGGACTGCTCTGAGCTGAGGGTCAGGCTGGGCTGCAAAGAAAGACGCTGTCTTTAGTAATGCAAAAGCCAAAAGAAACTAGGAAGGACTGCTGCTACATACTGAGGGCAAATGCACATTAGTACCAAGGGCAAATGCACATCAGCCCCAAGGGCTAATGTACATCAGCACCAAGGGCAAATGCACATCAGCTCCAAGGGCAAATGCACATCAGTACCAAGGGCAAATGCACATCAGTATCAAGGGCAAATGCACATCAGTATCAAGGGCAAATGCACATCAGCTCCAAGGGCAAATGCACATCAGTACCAAGGGCAAATGCACATCAGTATCAAGGGCAAATGCACATCAGTACCAAGGGCAAATGTAGGGCAAATGTACATTAGTACCGAGGGCAAATGCATATAAAACTTTTTAGATTTAGTAACCTAAAGATACAAAAATTAATCAAAAAAATAAACATCCCGTGAAATGTCTTCATTTAATAATTTATAATATTTATTCATATGCCAGGCACTGGTCTGTGCCTTTGCAAATACTAGTTTAATCTTCTCTAACAATAAATACTAAGGAGTGAGGCCATTTCTTATTGCTCTGCTAAAGATGAGATTGTCACGTGGCATGTGACATTCAGACGATGGAGCCACATTTCCTAACGACAGCTTGTGTTTTCTCTCACAGAAACATCACACCTTGCCATTACTGGTCATCACAATATCATGATCTAGTTCAATGATAGAGGCTTTAGAAAATATCCCTCATCCTGCCTTCTCAATAATACACGACAGCAATACAGAAAACAGTCCCTTTCCCATGCAAAGTATGCTTGGCTTCTCACTTGGCAGCACTGGGTCATGAGTACCTGTTTAGCAAACAGGCACAGACAGGCTAGAGATAACAGTGAGGAGCACGGCCGGGCTCCTGCCTCAGCTTCTGGATCCCCACTCTACACCACACTCCCACATCATCACCTGGAGCAGCCCAGGGAGCCTTGTAGGCCCCAAGCAGGTTCATCTGGTTTTCCTTCAGAAAGCAGCACCCCTCATGCACATTGTTCCTCCCTGTCAACATGCTTTCACACTGGTCCACCAAGTCCAGGCAGGTCTCTGTGTGACACTTCATCCAAATGGGGGTTGGGGGAGTTAGAATGAAGGAGGGCTGGTAATGACAGAAATGCCTTTCCTTGAAGCAAGATAAGCAGGAGCCACAACTGCCTTGCTCTGTCTAGCCAATGCGTTATCAAACCTAGGGCTGGACATCACTCTCACTGTCTCCTGAGGTAGTAACAGTTGAGCAGGACCATAGCTTTCTAGGATGCTGTATATACAAGTAAAAGGCTCGCAGCTTCCAGCTCAGCCTTTAATATTTCCAGGCTACAATACTTTGAGGTATAACCACAATGTGCTATACACTCGGCATACTATGCATGTGATGAGCGCCACACTTGGTGTGTGAGCATACAGTGTAGGACTGTGACCCCAGTGTACTGAGCAATGTGCTCAGAATGCTGAGCTTGTGGTGCCCTGTGTACTTGGTGTGCTATGCACTCAGCTGTATACTCAGTGTACTCTGTAGTGTAGCTACGCCCATGGTATGCTAAGTAGGCAGTGTGCTGTGCATGCAGTATACACAATGTGTGGTGTGCTGTGCATGCAGTATACACAATGTGTGGTGTGCTGTGCATGCAGTAAATACAATGTGTGGTGTGCTGACCATGCATTGTGTCGTGTGCCACACGGTGTGCTATGTGCCATGCTGTGGTGTCCCTATGTCATGGGGTGTGTGCCTTGTGCATGACTTGCTGAGTGCTCAGTATGTTATGTGCCCCTACAAAGATGAGCAATGCCTGTCACAGGGAACAAACTATTCTCCAGCATTGTCCAAGAGACCGGTACATGTACTCACAAAATTAAATGGATATCTAGGAAACTGTTCAATATTTATCAAAAGGTAAAGGACGGTCCCTGTGAGTTGGTAACCCCCTGCTCACTAAACAAGATACTTCAGCATCTAGACTGACTGAAGGGAGAGCATGGGGAGGGGGGCTTACAGGATTGAGAATGGCCATTATTGATCCTCAGGACCAGCATATCAAAAACTACACTCACAGTTTAAAAATGGGATATTTTTAAGTTACTGAATGAATTAAACATGTGTTTTCTCCTGTATATTCAATAATGACTAAGGCTTTAAAAAATAGCATGGAGAAACTCTCTCCGTATGTCAACCAAGGAAAAATAATTGTTAAATGTCTATCAGTACAGCAACCAGCACTCCTCATCCACAGTGACTACTCCAGCTGCTGGTGCCTTTACATTATCATAGGTCTCACCAAATCCAATAGAAACAACAGAGACAAGGAAGAGTCACGAGTCACTTCAGTCCCTCCCCTGGGGACCTTAGGTCTCATTCTAGAGTAGAAGTGTGGCCTCAAGCTTGTAAGGTCTAGCAGGGACAGATGATGCTGTGGCTCTTCTCCATAATTATCCTCCTTGAGTGGTTGTCATGGTTTGTATATGCTCGGCCCAGGGAGTGGCACTATTAGGAGGTGTGGACTTGGAGTAGGTGTGTCACTGTGAGTGTGGGCTTTAAGACCCTCATTCTAGCTGCCTGGAAGTCAGTCTTCTAGCAGCCTTCAGATGAAGATGTAGAGCTCTCAGCCCCTCCTGTACCATTTCTGCCTGGATGCTGCCATGTTCCCACCTTGATGACAATGAACTGGACCTCTGAACCTGTAAGCCAACCCCAATTAAATGTTGTCCTTTATAAGACTTGTATTGGTCATAGTGTCTGTTCACAGCAGCAAAACCCTAACTAAGACAGTGGTCCTGATCCCATCAGAGACTGGCCCTGTAAGCAAAGTTAAGGATGACTCTGTGCTCAGGCTACTCTACCTGCCTTAGCTCTTTGTGGAATCTGGGGCCCTGGCTTCCAGGATTATGAGGAATTATATGTCTGTGACTAAGGTTTCAGGTTGGTGATGCTGCAGCAGCATGCCCCTCCATAAACACTCTATCCATGGCCCACCCTCAACCACACCTCCTGTAGTGAGAGCAACAGCCCCCTGTGCCCCAGAAGCCTGCTCACTCTGAAGTCTCTGGAGAGCTCATCTGGAGATTATGCAAGACTTGGACTGGCTACTAACATCTCTGCCACTGGCTAATGATCACCAGGTGATGAACCTCAAGTAGGAATCGTCTGCCAGGATTGTAAGGAGGGCTGCAGTGTGGAGCAGTGAGCAGTATTCCCATTTCTAGTGAGGAACCGGGTATCCAGGTTTAGGAGACGGCAGAATGTGAACTCCTGGCAGGCTCCGACCTGGTGGCAGTGAATCAGTACTCAGAGTGGGCGGAGACACACACAAAAATGTGACCACAGGGATGGGTGTTATAGGGAAACAAAGAGTGTGCTATGGTTTCCTTCTTGTGCCTGTGACTAAAACAATATGCAGCTTAGGGAGGAAAGGGCCAATGTGGCTTATGTTTCCATCACTGAGGGACATCAGGACATGAGCCCAAGCAGGAACCCTGAGAAATGAGGGAGGAATGGTGCTTGCTGACTCACTCACGCTTAGCTAGCTTTCCTGCATGTCCTGTAGCTGCACTGTCCTCAAGGCCTCATCCAGTGTGAGGAGCTCACTGAACCATGGGGGATGGGTGGACACCAGGACCACAGCAATGGAAAATGCCGACAGAAGAGATATGAAAGAACTACTCTAGGAGGTTGGCAGAAGGTGTGAGGTAGAGGGTGTCAGCATTCCTTCTAGGCTCAGTCCCACAGTTACCTGGCAACAGTTAGGTATGCCTGACTCACTATAAAAGGAGCTGCTTGCCCCTCCTCACTCTCTTACTCTTACCCTCTTACTCTCTCCCCTCTCTGTTCCTTCTCTCCCCATTCCTCCCCATCCCCCTCTCTTCTCTGCCTTTCTTTGGCTCTACTCCTTCCTCAACTCCCCTCTCCATGCCCTAAATAAACTTTATTCCAAACTATCTTTTGTATCCCTGGTACCTCAGGGGGAAGGGATGTCTCGGCATGGGCCAGCAGAGGCACCCACTTCCACCTCACCATGCCATACCTCTACCAAACATATCCTGGTTCTTTCTTTCCTTTTTATAAAACACAACAGAGGGCCAAAGTTGGTGTGTGACCCACATGAAGGCTAAGACTGGATCTCTAAAGTTTATAGATATTTCTGCATGCAGGCCACTGGGTAACTTGGAAACATGTCTCCATAAAAAAGGAGTGAAGCAACGTGAGGGTGTCTATGACCTTTCAACTTTAGTCCATGCAAATCAACCTACGGTTTAGTTCTGCTCACTGAGGAGAGCAGTGGGAAGGGACTGAACATCCATCCTGAGCGTTACTTACAGCATAGCAGAAAGTGCAGACTACTTGGGCCAAAACAAGTGTCTGACTAAAGTCATTTTACATTGCTGTGTCAACTTTACAGTTTAAATCACAATACTTACAGTTCTGGGTTCAAATGTATATAAAGCTCGGAAGACTTTAACTTGCCCTAAAAGAAGAAAAAAAAAATCTGATAAATTCTTTTGTAGCTTTACTCTAAGTTGTTACTAATTTTTTCCTGCTAGAATTCCCAAATTAAAAGTCTATTTGGGAATGTAACTTTAGAGGAAGTATCTTTCCACCTATTGGATGCATCTTCAAAATTTTTGTTAAATGAATGTTAGCACATGTGTCAGATCGATGGCTTTGTTTGTCAGGAGGTAAGGATTTGTACTGCATTTCTTCCCTGAGTATATACAGTCATTCTAATAGTAACATCAAACTTAAAAATAACGAGTTAGGGGTTGAAGGGCCTAGAGAGACGGCTCACTAGTTAAGACCACTTGAATCTATATCAGAACACCCAATACAGATCCTATTCAGGCAACTCACAACTGCAGTTACAGAGGATCAGACACCCTCTTCTGTTTCAGAAACCTGCATACATGCAGCCTACATAGACACATGAATAATAAAATTAATTATTAAAGGTAATTAGCGAGGCAAAGTATGGTAATATACCACTGTAATCTCAGCACTCAAGAGGCAGAGCCAGACAGATCTCTATAGTTTCAGGTCAGCCTGGTCTACATAGCAAGTTCCAGGTCACCCAGGACTACATAAAAAGACTCTTGCTTAAAAAAATAAAAAAAAATAAAAAATAAAAAAATCAATTAATCAAGTTGGACATCTAGACAAAAATTATAAAGAACAATCTAAATGGTTTAAAATTTTTTAAATCAATATATTAGGACCTTACATTTTCCAAAAGAACAGAAAAAAATGGAGGAAAAGAGAAGAACCCCATAAGGCAGTGTCACCCTCCATCCCACATGCTCCACAGCCTTTCCCTGGCACTCCTCTCATGTGCATTGGCTCAGTACCTCAGAAGGAAAGGGCCTGAACTTTAAATCTCCCAGCAGTTACTCTGTACACAGTATGAACTGAGTTCACAAAATTAATACAAATTAGGCAAGATAATGTCTACAGCAAACAAGGGGTGTGTTTTACAAAATAAATAGATTAAGAGAGAGATCAAAATAGAAGGACTATCTACTTAAAGACTAATAACAGTTTAGTCCATGTTCGGGAAGATCCTTTATAGATGATATTCAAACCAAGTGTCATTCAAATCTGGCCTCCAAGGCAGATAAAGAAGCTTGCTTCAGAATAGATGTTTTCACCTTACACGTTCTCTGTTGCTATTTGAACATATTTTATAATACAACAACATAAAGCAATATATATATATATACAATTTGTAACTACATGCATGCTTACTGGGATTAAAAAACCTTTGTTTGATACAATGTGGCATAATGAGGATATATGTTTCATTAATGGACTTCCAAGTGCACAGCACAGAGATCAGCACATAATAGGCTCTGAGCAAGCCCTGCTGAAGAATGAAGAATGGGTGGGGAAATAAAAACTCAGAAGCCTGTGCTCCAAGCAGCCTACCAATCACTAGTGTAAGAACACCACTATCCAGTGTAACTCCACATAACTACAGAGAAGTTGTTTGTGCTAGTCACATGTAGATACAGTGTGACCATGGGACTGATTATTTAATTATTGATTACTTGAGAGTTTCAAATAACATACCCCATCACACTCTCTTTCCAATCCTCCCACCTTGTGTCTGCCCCCCCAAATTTTTGACCTTCCCCATCCAAAAAAAAAGTCCAACTTGTGCTGTCCATATACTCACTGGGGCATGGTCAAACTCCCCAGTGGCCAGCCCCTTAAAGAAAACTGAGTCCTTTTCCATCCCCACTGCTACCAGAAGCTATCTACTGTGGAGAGCTACACTTCAGCACCCTTAAAACAATTTTCAAGACTTCCCTTCAACAGCTTTCTATACAGGCTATTACTTTTTTCAATGGGTGAGAGGACAGTGGTTGTCACAGAACCCTTCTATGTTTCTCTTTCTCAACTGTGAGACACTAGTCATTGATACAAAAGAAGCAAGAGAAGCTTCCTTGCCCTTTACAGTCAGCAAGAGCACAGATCATGGACTTCTACAGGGTTTCCAGCTATAGCACGGACCAGAACATTCAACTGGTCTCCAATGTCAGCATGTGCCATGGACCTCAGCATGGTCTCTGGTGGCAATACCAACTGCAGACATCAACACCGACTTCAGACACCATCATAACCCCCAAAAGGACCACAGGCAACAGACATCAACATGGCTTCTGGAGCAACACAAGCTAGACACCAGTATGATTCCCAGTGGCAGCTCAGCCCATGGACATCAACATTGCTTCAGGCGGCAGCATAGACCACAGACATCCACATGGCCTTTGGTGGTAACAAGGACCACAGACATCAATATGGCCTCTAGTGGAAGAACAGGTCCAGCCTCCAGCCATAGGCTGGACCATGGACCTCAACAGGGCCTATGGCTGCAGCACCGACAACATACACCATCATAGTCCTCCGTGGCAGAACAGGACATAAACTTCAACATGGCCTCTGACGGTAACATGACCCACAGTAAACCACCGCACATGGCTAGTGACCAGTATATTGAAGAATAAAAGTCTAGAGTAAATGGGAATGAGTGTAACATCTATTAGGAGAGAACTATATTAAGTCAACCCTGATTTGTCAGCATGATAGAATCACTGAAAAGGAATGCTAACAGTTAGGAAATCAGTCTACATGCCCATCAAGTGGCGAAATGATGAAGAAAACATCAGGGCTAGAGACATGGCTCAGTCAGCAGTGTTCCTGCCACACAAACATGAGAATCTAGGTTAATTCCTAGTACTCATGTAAAAGAGCTAGGTGTGGTGGCTTGTTTCTACAACCTCAGTAGAGTACCAGAGAGGAAGAAAAGCAGATTCCTGGAGCTAACTAACCAGCCAGTCTAGCCAAAGCAAGAAGTTCAAAGTTCAGTGAGAGACCCTGTCTCAAAATATTAAGTAGAGAGGAACTGAGGAACACACCCAATGTTGACCCCTGGCCTTCACATACACACATGTGCACACACCTGCATGCACAGGTTCACACCCATACACTGAACAACTGCGCCAGTTATGGGGCCCTTCACATTCTAATCTACATTGTTGTTTACATTCACTGCACTGAATGTATATACCATTTTGTTGTTGTTGTTGTTGTTTCGAGACAAACCACCAATTTGTATAATTCAAGTTCTTTCCATTTAGCACACCCTCACAAAAATGGGAGGAGGGGGTATGGGATAAGGGGTTTTGGGGGAGAATGGGAGAGGAGATAACATTGAAAGGTAAATACGTATAATATCAAATAATAAAAAAAAACACAGGTAAAGGGTCTAAAAAAAAGAGAGAGGCAGAGAGTTTACTTATTTTAAATTATTTTCAAAAAGTTTCTAGGAGTTGCTAATTGGCTAAGATCCTATTTTAAGCTCTCCACAAAAGAATTTAAGTCTCTGTTCAATATTCTCAAAAGAGATGTAAATCCTAATTTTCCTCAACAATTAATTGACAAAAGAGAGGTAATCTCACAAAAAGTAGAAGAAGCTATTACTAATCGATATATTATATAGTCTGATTAGTTGTCGGTGGTGATATAACAGTCCTTTGACAAAAGATTATTAATATAGATTTATATATCCTTAAATAGGGTTTTCATGACTCTCTGAGTGTGGAAGGAGCGACTGTTGGTGCTTCTGCCCTGATTTTACAAGAACTCTGAAAAATTGGCTTTAAAAACAAAAGAGGGGGAACGGTACCCCCCCCAGAAGGAGTCCCCCTGAAATAATCTCCATCATGCCTTGTTTACTTTTATCTCTCTAAAGCTGAAAGCTCATGGCAAATCTGCTGCTGACTGCCTCTGGCAGCACCGAGACCAACAAAACTGCCACAGATATGGGGAAGGACCCTCTTACCCTTAAAGGGAAAGGCCCAGACCCAATTCCTTTATGAGGCCAAGGATTGATATGCCTGTCTGATACCACAGAAGGCACAGCTAACTGGCTACCAAAAAGATTAATGAAATAAATAGATACCCCCACAAAGCCAGGCCCAACCATAAATAAGATGAATAACAATTTACATCCAGGGAAGAGAAATCTCCCTGAGAATTCCCTTCTTTTTCCTTTCCAGGTAAAGATAAATCACCCGTGATGTCTGCTGTTAGAAGTTCTAATCCAGATGCTGGCCTCCGAACTTATACTACTCAGACCTTTGAAGGGCCACTGACAAGAATATCAAACAGCTAGAGATTGACATCACTAATCTGAAGAAATCCCTTGTTTCACTGTCTGAAGAGACCTCCTAAAATTGCAAAGAACCTTAATGGACTTGATTTACTCTATTACAATAGAAAAGGCTGTGTACAGCTCTTGTCTGTGTACAACCCTTAAAGAAGAATGTTGCCTTTACATAGACAAGACAAGGAGGGTTAAAGAGAGCATGAAATAGGTCAGTGAAGGCCCCTAGAAAAATCAGAGAGAGAAAGAGACAGATGAAGGCTGGTGCAAGAATTGGTTTTCAGCCTCTCCAAGGTTGTCAACCCTACTTCCTCCCATCTTGGGACCATTATTTGGGTTCTTTTTGCTTATTTCTGCTGGTCCCTGGCCCTCAAATAGGCAGACTAACTCTGTGATACAACAGATAAATAATTTGGTAGCAAAACCCTCTCAGATACATTATCATAAGTTAGCTATGGAGGACCACGAGACTCAAAATGAGGTTGTTACTTTATACAGGGTGTTTCCAAAGCCCATCTCCACCCAACTTAAAAGGGGGGACTTCTGCCCCTAGACCAAGCAGAGAGGGGCCACCCAGAACCCCCTCTGACAGGCGATCTGAATTCTTGCTTAGGCTGTGAGGCTAAGCACTGCAAGGGAATATAAATAAAAGATAAAAATATCTATCTAGGTTCTCTGAGGGACAAGCCTGACTGCACAGGGGTTGATGTCAAATGTATCCCCTCTCCAGGAAAAAGACATTGGGATGGGTATGGCCCTCATGCCTCACTGGACAACGACAGGGGAACCAGAGCCATTACAAGGTC